ACCAGGAAATAAAGATTCTGACTACTTCTATGACATTCATTGTTGGTGACTTTTAAAACGCTGCAATAGAAACACTTTACTGGAACAATAATGTTGGTGTCTGCTCCTCACTACGGAACTATTATTCGCTGTCATGGTGACATTAACAACTGCTGATCTCTTCAAGCGTCCGGAGATCTCCGTCGCAAATAAAATGAATTCAAACTCCAGGTAACTCCGTTAATCTTATTTGACATCAGAACTGGAGTGTTGACAGTGTTAGATGAGTGAGATGGTGCATATCAGTTACACCTGTCTTTGTCCAGGCGGTGTCTGTCTTGGCACCATCAGGGTGAATTAGGACACAGGGGTAGCAGAACAGAGCGTTAGCCACTTCACACCCTGCTAGCCATGTTTTCCGCTCGTACCAGCTCCGGGAAAATCCGCGATTGTACGTTTCCCCGCTTTTGTTGACACCTGCTTGATATTTAAATTTGGTCTGGGTGGTCCGAATATCACCCAAAATATATTCAGGCTGCTGAATATCACTCTCTCCCCTCTTTTTTCATGTGGCTGAAGGAGGGCGGTGCACTATCGCCCACTATGGGCCAGCGCCCCTGCTATCAACATATACATTTACAAAGAATATCTCCTGTTTAATGATGACTTATAAACAACAGTATGGCTGAGCAAAACTGAAAATTGGCCAGTTTTCTCATTTTTGGTTTTTGGTTTACACCAAAAAAACAAGCCTGTTTACATTTTTTCCGTTCTTGGTTTGAAAAGGCAAATTACACTTTAGTACTCTGAACATTCAGCCTAGTAGAGGAGTTCGGCATATTTAAAATCAGTAATTATGAAGGTAAAGTGAAAGTAAGACAGATCTAACTAATGATTTCACTGAAACCTTGTGACTTACAGGAACTGATAACTCGAAATTAACCATTAACCATTAACCAAACAAGTAGTACAAAGGTCTTTCAATAGTTCACACTTACACTTTGCAAAAAAAAGCTGTGCTAATCAATATTCTTACATAAATAATGTATCAAGTGATCATGAATGCAATGATTTGCAAATTCTTTTCAACTTATGAATATTCAATGCAATACATTACAAAGACAAGATATGTAATGTTCAAACAGTCATCTGTGATGTCAGAGAAGCCCTCATCTAGTGCAACGTCATCCTCCAGGTCATGGTCTTCAATTAGCTGAGCTTACTGCAAATTTGAAATCTCACAGATTATGTGGGAATCACTGTTAAAGTGTTACATTTACACTTTTATTAGAAGTGAGATTCTAGAAACACTATGACAGTGTTACCTAACAAACTCTTATCGTGTAAAACATTAACACCACAATTGATGGTAGTAACAACTCTGGCTTAGTTTACTCATTAGAGATAGAGTAACTGGTCAACACCGTGCCAGTGATCAGATAACACGTAACTAGTGCTGAATATGCTTCTGATACAGGGTACATGGTCTACTGGATTAATGCTATTTGATTGACAATGTACACTATTAGAGTTACAGTGTACACTATTTAGTGTTCAAATGTAAAATCCATCCCACCAGCCATATGCAGTAAAAACTGGAAAAAGTACTGCTGTATTAAAAATAACTATGGTAAAGTGGTAAAGCTATGGTATGGTGGTAACAGAAACTACAACATTGATCAGGTGTTGTAGAGTCTGACAGCGGCAGGGATGAAAGACATGCAGAACCTCTCCTTCTTACACCTTAAGGGTGTAACAGTCTGCTGCTGAAGGAGCAACTCAGGGACCCCACAGTGTCATGTAGGGGGTGAGAGGTGTTGTCCATGATGGATGATGTATGTAAGAAAATATTTTGTAAAAATATACAGAAGGAATCTCAGCATTTTATTAATTTCTGTGAAGAAAACTAATGACACTGTTATTTTTATAGTTTAAATTATTATTAATGATTTTTTTTAAATCTCACAGGATAAGGGCACGGTAACGTGCTGAAAACAAGCTATATTCACAGAGCCTTCACTCTATAATATACAGCCTCATCCTACATTAGACAAGTACGTTGTTAAAACAACCAAAGAGCTGATAGAACTATGAGAAGAAATCACAGAATATAATAATATTATCATTTAGACTGGTAGTTGTGGAGTTTACACATCTCATAATTAAGTTAAAAAAATTCTCCTGATTGGTATTTAATTCACTTATCAAACAGTATCTGACATGTTGTGCCACAATACAGAACACATTCCTCAATGATTTGGAAAGAAATACAATTTAAAGCCACAGTGTTGGACGAATTGGCTCTTAAAGACAGACTTTTTTTGCAGTGGAGGTGGACAGTAAGTAGTTGGCAGTGAGGGATATTGTGGAGATTAACAGAAGGGGGGAGGGGGAGAGAGAGAGAGAGGGAGTTATGTGCAAGGACTTCTCATCAGTCAGTCAGTGGTGGTGGATTTGTCTAAAGGACATTTGAATGCAAAACAACAAAACAGAATAAAAGCCAAAGAACCGAGAGGGACTGACTAAACAGGGTAAGTCGTGCTGTTTTCGCTTTGAATTATAATTTATTTCAGACTTAGTTATTAGTTCATTTGTAAATTCATGCTAAATTGATGTTTTAAAATAGTTTATTCCAGACAAACAGTCAAAACACTTAAGATATTCAATTTACAGTGAATGGAAACAGAAATGCCAGCAAACCTTTCCAGCTGTCTCCAGCTTGTTAACCATTTGATAAACTACAGACAACAACAACAACAACAAAATGTTTGGCGCTTTTACTTAAAAATTATCATGAAACTTGTCAGCAATAATCTTCTGTAGATCCATTAATGTCTAACTTCAGCTGCAGTGTGTTTGCCTCACTCTGTCTTTCTCCGTGTATTTTAGTTGTGCTGTAAGTCTGTTAATAAGCAGCTATGGTCACAGGAAGGTTAATGTTAATTTATTGGATTTTACACTTTAATACTTATTTTTATGGTGCTCTTTATCTTTTAATGACTGCATTTCACCGGGAAGGTTCTTGCATGAAAGAAACATTTGATTTTACTCATAGTGGGGGATACTTTACAAAACTGGGAAAGATTAGTTTAAGTGGATTATAGGAGGCTAATGCTCGTCTATTTGCAGAGTGTTCATGTGCAATCGCTTGCAATACACCTCCACAATACCTGTTCACCTCGACAGCCTGAATTAAGTTTCTGACATTGTAATTATATTATAACCCTTTAAATCCTGTAACTTGATGATGGGAGGATGAGTAGGATGAATGGACCCTGGTTGCTTGTTTTCATCTTGCAGACAGGCTACTGCAGACAGAGTTTCTAAGCTAATCTACAGCAAACTGTAGAACCCGTATCTTAACTGCAGTAGAGCTTTGATGGTCTGCCTGAACCCGATTGGACCCGACATAACCCATTGGGTTCTGCCCAAAACTGCAGTCGTTTGTCAGGCTTGGGTGGAAAGAATGATTTCTTTTTTTTTTTTACTGTAATACTGCTGTAATCAACTGTTTATATTTATTTGTTTTCATAAAAAGATGTACTATATTATATGCACAATGTAGTTTCATTTAGGTTGTGATAAATTATTTAAATTATTCATTTTAAGCAGAAATTCAGGTTCGGGTAAAGCTCACACAGAATTCTTTCAGGCTCGGGCCTTTGTTTTTGGGCCCGATCAAAGCTCTAAAATGCTGTGATCTTTAAAATCTCCTAATTTCTGAGGACACCACAGGTCAAGTGATGCTGCCAGATATAGGGATTATAAAGGCAGAATTACAGTATTTATAGAAACAAAGAATGAATGGCATGCAAAGAAATTACAGCTTTTATTGAAACTTACTGAAACTTTGTTTTATATTGGTAGATCAATACCATTCTCGGGGCGGCAGTAGCTCAGTGTGTAGGGATTTGGCTTGGGCTCGGTTCAAGTCCCACAGACCACAAAATATGGAGTGGACTGGTAGCTGAAGAGGTGCCAGTTTCACCTCCTGTGCACTGCCGAGG